CCCCCCCCTCCCAATCCAAATGATAACATTCCACACCAAAATTTCACACATACCTTTTTCAAAGAGATCTGCAATTATTGCAATATAGCAATCGTCCTCATCCCCCGATGCTGAAATTATTTCTGTTTTTGAGATCAGGATGCAGTCTCCAATACTGTATGTTTCGCCGTCTAAAGTAAACTGCCTGTAAACAGCATGGCAGACAAAATAGAACATGTGAAAAGCTATGACTATGATATTTGCAAGTGATTAAAAAATGTCTAAGAATTGGTAGAGAGATTCTGAAAAAGCAAGAGCTAACAAGTTCACAAAATCCTGAGAATGCCCATCCTCACAAATACATTAAGATGTTATGAGTGCTATCTCTGTAGAGTCATCTAGTGGACAAACTTCATTTGACATTTTTTTAAACTATTCACAAAGGACCTGCTACATCTGGGGAATTGAAAACTGCTCCCATTAAAATTAGAGGACCTGAGCACATTATGACACAAAACAATATTCATTTGCTGTTAAGACTTAAGCTAAGAAAAAGCCAACCACAGACAGAAACAAAAGAACAAAGAGAATGATTAGAGTAGGGAAGGGGCGGGGTTTAAGGTAACCCATATACCTTATTACCCAGGTCAAGCATTAAAAATGTTGAATGATTAACCAAGAAAGTAGAGGGACATTGAATACAATCATCATCAATCTTCCACACAAGTGCATATCTTTTCCCCCACTCGCTGGATTGAGGTAGACCTAAGACTTGGCCTTCTCGGGTTAAGGTTACCTTAGAAGTCTGGATATCTAGCCCTCACCGTCAGACTTAACCTTGAAATAAGTTAAAACCTAAATCCAGAAAATCAAATGTGATTAAAATATAAAACGGGCAATCTGGCAGACGCCTCAATCATCATATAAAATAATATCATTATTATCATCATCTTGTCACTTGCTTCAACCCAATACGTTTATATAGCAATGACCACGAAAAACCTTTTTTTGTCAGAAAGTGTTTGCAAATAGGTGCATTTTGTAGCTGTACTTCCACAGAGAATGGAACTTTTTGAATTTTTGAAATCCATCAATTTACAAAAAAGTTACGAATTTTTTAATCAATTAATTTTTTATAGACTTTTATAATGAAAAAACCCCAAATTATGGGACGTTCCTTGGTGAGTTTTGAGACAATATTCGTCATAACTCACTCATTTCTCAGAGTATTTAAATGAAACTTGGCAGCCCAGTACATTTGCTAGTGCATAATCTAGTCCTGCTTTCAGATTTCTCATAGCTATCCTACTTTTTGAGTTACAGAGACGTTTATTGGTAAAAATGTGACGGTTTTCTGTGTGTTTTGAGATATTTGTCATAGCTCGACTATTTCTTGGAGTAGATCTATGTAAATGAAACTTGGCAGTCTAGTACAGTTTTTTAATGCAAAATCTAGTCATGCTGTCATATTTTTAATATCTATCCCACTTTTTGAGTTGTAAAGACATTTACAGGTTTTTAAAAAAGTGGCGTTCTTTACAAATTTACAAAGATTAACAGTCATATCTTCTCCCAAAGTCATGATATTTGAATGAAACTTGGCAATGTAAAAGATTCCTCCTTACTAAGCAATGCACTGGATCAATTTGTCACAAAAATTTAAGTAGAGAGCTGGATTTATTAGTCTAATAAATCCAGTTCTCTACTAGTAAAAGCATGCACACTTTGTAACAGAAAATAAGATCGTCTCTGTATATATCCATTGTTGGACAGTGACCTATTGTGTGGTAGATTGAGATGTGTTTAGATAATATTATAGTTTACAAGTCCTGGAATATTTCGCATGTGTAGGCTACAACTCATACTATAAATGCCAAAAATTTGAGCCACCATTGATTGGTTGCGGCCGCGACAAACGCAGATGCTATTTCTATGTGTCGTTATCAATAACCCTCCGTAGATCTAGATCTAGACAGCACACGAGTGAACACAACTCATTAAGTTTAAGAGCAGCACCCTTCAGAGGCAACACATATATCTGTAGCGAAAAACTGTTTGGAACTGTAGCATTTCTGTACATAAATATTTACTGCGGACATTTTATTGGACCGATTGAACCATAATGTATACAAACAATCTTTGGTAGGCCTATAATATAAGGGAGTGTATACAGATCCGGTAACCGGGAACAAAGTCACAAAGTATACAGACCCGGTAGGGGAACTCTTTTGTTATTTCGGAGAGTTTCAACGCCCTCTTGGCTCAGGGTAGACCTAGGCTCCTAGGTTCTTCTAGATCTATGGCCTAGGTCTAGATCTAGATCTAGGCAGACAGACATAAATCTTTGATCTAGTTTCGCGGCTAGCCTAGATCTATATATCTAAATGAAGATTGCGGATGTCTTTTCGGTGAACGATCATTTTTCCTCCGTTTTGGAGTTGGAGGAATCGCAATTTGAAGAAAAGAACAACGTCATAATTTCAATCGAGCAGTCACCCTCTCTATTTCTCTCTCTCTCTCTGCTCTCTCCTCTGTGTATCGCTCGCCTTCTTTTTTTCTTTGTTTGTCCCTGTCTTTCTTTGTCCCCACCTATTTCCCACTCTATCTTTCTCTCGTTCCCTCCTGCCAACTGGGGCATGTCATATACATTTTGCTAGCACCTCTCTCTCTCTTTCTCTCTCTGTCTCTCTCTCACACACACACACACACACATGTGATTTCTACCTGGTCTGGACGCTGAAACTTCCCGAAATCAAAAGAGTTCCCCTACCGGGTCTGTATACTTCGTGACTTTGTTTCCGGTCACCGGGTCTGTATACACTTTGATAATATAATTATAGATCTATATATCCGAAATTTGCGGGAAAGGATGTGATTTCAGAGTGTTTGGAGAAATAGTGCCCAGCTTTATTTTCCCGAACGTTCGGAGAAATAGTGCTGGCCAAAAAATAACCCCCCATTCCGGAGTCCTATACTTCGCAGCGCTCAGATTTTGAATGAACTTTGGTGACCCCTACAATTGCCAGAGCTCACAATGTGATGGAACGCGCAGGTTCATTGACCGGTCACAATGGCGAGCCCGACAAGATGCTTGTATAAAGTAACTATAACTTTCTTTTATTTTATTTTTCTTTCACAAGTGACAGCACAGGACAAATATTGATTTTTTTCAAGGGGACACAGCGTTTGCCATGCACAGCCTGCATGTTGTTACAATTAATGTTGCGTATCAAAAACTACTACCAGCAAATATCTAGGTGGTAACGAAAGTGAAAGTAGATTTATATCTATCCCGATCAAATGTCGGTATCACACACATACACTTCCGCTTGCCACCATAGCCGCCTGTCGGCGTGAAGAAACATACTCTTGGGGAAGCCGAATGAATATCACAATCATCGCGACCGCCAAAACAAACTTAAGTGCGTTATCGAATTTAGTTTTCAAATATTCGATAACTTTCTCAAATCGAAGTGTATACAGACCCGGTAACCGGGAACAAAGTCTCGAAGTATACAGACCGGGTAAGGGAACTCGGGAATACGAGAGAGAGAGAGAGAGAGAGAGAGAGAGAGAGAGAGAGAGAGAGAGAGAGAGAGAGAGAGAGAGAGAGAGTGTGTGTGTGAGAGAGAGAGAGAGAGAGAGAGAGAGAGAGAGAGAGAGAGAGAGAGAGAGAGAGAGAGAGAGAGAGAGAGAGAGAGAGAGAGAGAGAGAGAGAGAGAGAGAGAGAGAGAGAGAGAGAGAGGGGGAGAGGGAGAGAGAAATAGAGAGGATGAAATCTCGAGAGAAATTATGACATTGTTCTTTTCTTCAAATTGTGATTCCTCCAACTCCAAAACGGAGGAAAAAATGATCGTTCATCGAAAAGACATCCGCAATCTTCATTTAGATATCGAAGTCTAGCCGTACTTAGATCTAGGTTTGGCCCTATCGACTCAACCAAGCCTGTTAAGTACACAGGTCTCATAATTAGATGTAGATCTAGTAATTATTCAGGTTCAAATACATGCAAGTCAGTAAGGCACCTTTTGGTTTTGTCTAAAATACAAATACTTTAGGCATTGCAAACTAAAAATTTCATTTACAATTCAGCCATCATTATTAAGTACGGCTAGCCTGACAGTCTAGCCGTCCTTAAGTACGGCTAGCCTGGCTGTCTACCCGTACTTAAGTACGGCTAGACAAGAAGTCTAGCCGTACTTAGTCTAGCCGTACTTATCTAGGCCCTATTAACATTAGAAAACAGGAGGTTTAAAATACATGCAACTGTCATTAAGGCACCTGGTTTCGTCTCAAATACAAATACTTTAGGTACTGCACACTAAAAATGTAGGCCTATTTTTGGTAAATGGTCAGTCTAGCCATCATATTAAGAATAAGTACGGCTAGACTGCGAGTCTAGCCGGCTAGACTGCCAGTCTAGCCGTCATTAAGTACGGCTAGCCTCTTCCTTTAGATATAGATCTAGAGTCTAGGCTAGCCTCGAAACTAGACTAGATCAGTCTACTAGATCTATGTTCTATGTCTGTCTATCTAAATCTAGACCTAGGCCATAAATCTAGAAGAACCTTGGTCTACCCTGAGTCAAGAGGGCGCTGAAACTTTCCGAAATCAAGAGTTCCCCTTACGGGTCTGTATACTTTGTGACTTTGTTCCCAGTTACCGGGTCTGTATACACTCCCTTCTCAAATTCCTGGGTAATTCCCGGGGCCTGGCAGTCACCCTGCTGAATCACAAAGTCGGTGGTTTATCTCTCAAAATTGGTGGATCGGTAGTTTGACCAAAAAGTCGGTGATGTACCGATTTTTTCTGTAGGGTTGGCCGGTATGCACTAGCCAACACTGATTTGTCTAGCCTGCACGCAAAGCACAGTCATTCATTACCAGATAGATTCTAGATCTAGATCTAGTTGAACATGAACAGGCTCTACTTTTAGAACCTCAAACAACTAAATCGTCAATGTCAATGTAAGTTCTAGATCTAGACTGGCAGGCTAGATCTACTGACTAGCCACTTCGAAGAATGAAAGTGAAAGGAACGTATGAATCGTTAGTAGGTTCAAAACGAATATTCTCTAAATGCAATTGTACAGGCATAGATCTAGGAGTACAGGAGTGCCAAGCTATGATATTCAATTTCATATCCTGTTGAGTCTAGATCTACGTGTAGGGAGAAGGCCACCTCTATTCTCACCCGGAGTGAGAATAGTGCAGGCGAGTCTTGTGGCTATTCTCACCTGGTGCGCGTTCACCAAATTTTACGTTCAACCTAAACCACAGAATTCTACACTGTGATAACAGAAAAATTGTAGAATTCTGTGCCGTGAACAAACGTTCCATTACAACTGTAGCCTACTAAAAGCGTACAATTTTGTCTGTGGGCAGTGGAGAGAGAGAGAGAGAAAGAGAGAGAGGAGTAGCGCGAGAATTTCTGGGCAAAACAAAATGGCGACCCCCATAGTTCGGCTCGATTCGAAAAGTTAAATAGCCGTAGCATCTTTGTAGACAACCAAATTAATTTACTTTTGTGTTTTAACATCATTTTTTAACTTTGTTTTGATCAATTTGATCGTCCACACCGATAGACAGTATTCAGAAAGAGACAGAGAGAGAGAGAAGAGGGGAGGAGTTGATCTTGCGAGAACTTCCGGGCGGGTGAGAATTAGCCACTTTCTAGGGAGAAATCTAAATCTAGATTAGATATCTAGATCTATTTCATATCCTGTAGAGTCTACGTGTAGGGAGAAATCTAGATCTATGCCAGAAAAAGAGTGGGTACAAATACAAACCGTCTTCCCTATAGCCTCTTGTATGCTACATAATACCATAGTAGAATCTCAGGCCGCGAGTCATACAAATCCACATTCCTCTGAGCCTGAACGCTTCTTCACTCACCTGTAATGTTTTGTGAGCTGTCGTCTTCCTTGGCCTTGGTGGAGCTCTCCCACTCCAACCCACTCCACATCTGGTGCCGTGAAATAATTCTGAAACGGAATAGGCATTGTGCTGATCAACGGTCACTTCGATTTGGCAATGAACCTTGATCACACAGACGGTGAACAGTCTATTCTGAATTGTTTACTTTCTCCACTGCTGCCGACTACCAAATGTCAACAAAAACCACTTGCTCTTCTTCAACCACGTTGAGTTGGCCAGCTGACTCGTAAATTTGGCGCCACGTGCCAGGAATCGAGTTCCGGCCTTTGAACAATATTTATTTGTGCGACATGTTTCATGCGAGAGTATAGCCAGAGTTTTCCCAGGGCAAAAAGAAATTAACATTATTTGAAACATTTTGAAAGGGTGTTAACTTGAATTAACTTGAATTACTATCGTTGTCATTATTATTATCAATACATTTTTATAAAAAGGATTTTTTTATTATCATTATTAGTAGTATTATATTATCACGACTGCTGCTACAATTTAAAATCAACTATAACTATTGTCAAGGGATATAATGTCATTCATTGTTCGTACATGATGCGTGTATAAGTATAGGTCTAGGCCTGCGTGGGATGTCGTCTGGGTATTCTTAGGCCTGCAGTTCTTTTATTTTAGCGGGGGGGGGGGGGGGGGTATTCGATTCGTGAAGGTAGCTAGTTTTGTTTTCGTGAGTAACATCAATTATAGCTTTTAGTGCTCTGACAGATTTTCTGGTGTTTTGTACATGTAGTTTGAATGGTGCCTGAATTGTTATTTTATTGGAAGTAGAATTCATAGCCGCGATCTCGATCTGGTCGCACGTAAGGTGTGCTGGGTTTTTGTTGTTGTTTTTTGGGAGGGGTGTTTTTGTCTGGGGGGGGGGATGGTTTTGCTTTCGGCTTTCTGTTTTCCTTGGTTTTAATTCCGGGGAGAGGGGTAGGCGGGCGGTTTGGTAAATGTTTTACGGCGCTCGCAACTGCTTAATTTTATAATAATTATTATAAGGTCATGAGCGCGCGGGACCCGTGAAACGTTTAATTAAGTTTGATAGGAACTTTTAATTTTGCCTAGATGGCGGCCGAAGCCCTAGCCCGAGGATACCGGAACTAAAGCCTCGCCCTAGCCTATCGATTCTAGGACCACCAAGAGATCTTCAACGTCTGCAACTTGAACACGGGACCTACGAGATTGTTCATCCTTATCGGAGGAAATTAAGTCCTACCATAAGATTAGGGGTGTGGCTGAAAGACAGTACAGTTCTAAGTGGAGTAGGCTGCAGAAAGAATCCGCAGATGAAGGGGTG